CCCCCCCCCCCCCCCCGCCCAAATGCTTGGCAGTGAATTTCATCTAGCTCCAGGGAGACCCTTCTTTGTTGGAGTGAGAATATTTAGCAAAGAGCATTCCTCAAAGACCAGACTACCATTGCATTTTGGACCTGAACAAACCCAGACAGCTTTCATTCTCTTCTCAATGTGAGCTATAAAGTCTGCAAGAATCTCAAAGCGCTGTATTAGTCCAAGGAACCTTTGCAGTAAGAGGTATCTGGGCAACAGGCTTAAACAGGAATTATATCTACAATGAGGGAGATTTCTTACTGGTGTAAATCAGTTTGCTCCAGGGCTGTCTTAAATAACCCAGACAGCCTGGGCACGGTGCTTGAACGTATGCCATTCTCCACATGTGCAAAAGTCCGTGAGGTCAGACTTACTGCATGTGCCAGAAGAGCAATGCGTCGTACGCAGCTGGGCTCCCTGCACACACCGCGCAGAGCTGCTCTCTGCATAAGCAGCAAGCCAAATTAATTGGACTGTTTGTGTGCACATAGAGTAACTCCACAGCATGTATACTGCAAGTCCAGTGCATCTGGAATTACAGCCAGCACCCGTCTCCTAGCTGTCCCACGGCAAATCTGCTTTGGGGACAGGCTTACATCAATGTCACTTTGTTCCAGCTGTCTTTCTGTTGTTTTTCATCCGCTTCTCATTGTTTTATAGCCCTTCTCACCTGTCGTCTTTGTCCTCTCTGTCCCTTTCCTGCCTGCTCCATGGCATGGCAGGGAGATGTCATGCATGCATCACCTCCTGAGCCCCAGTGGCAACGTCTGGAATTCTGCACAGCTTTTATAGTGCTTTGAGCTCACCGACAAGGCTTTTTTACCCAAAGAATTGCACTTTTTCTTCCAGTAAGTCCAGCTGTGATATGTATCCAGTTCAGCCAAATGAGCTTCCTGACAAAGTGCATTCCACAGCTAGCATTTGCTCACCCAGGGAAACCAACCTCTGCTGCGTACATGGAAGGGTTTTAATGCTGCTGTCCCATGGCAGAGTGAGGTATTAGGCGACGACCTTAACAAATGGTCCGATTTTTTGCGGAGCAAAAAGCACTGGAAAGTGAAAACTGCATTAGAAAACACCCCGTCACCCTTCCCAGGAAATGCTTTCTTTCTATGGGAATAGCGAAGCCTCGTAAAGGAAAGCTCTTGTTATTTAGGTTGATTAATAGCTAATTGCTTTGCTCAACAGTGGGGGCTGGGCTAGATCCCAGACCAGGAGCATTGCTAGTGAAGCCCGAGGTGAGAAGTGTTAACCTGGAGTGAAACTCAAATATTGTAATGCAATACCACTGCAAGGGAAAATCGGTGCTCGTGCTGCTGAAGGGGTTGCCACGTTTGCTTTGCCCATGTGGGGTCAGCATGATGTGGGTTACTGTTATCATTCATAAAGCTGTCATAAATAATTAGCATACACTTTCTCCTTTTGAATAATCCTTATTAGCAACTTTTGTTCCCCTGAATGACCTCCAAAGAGGAGTCTTGCAGATAGTCCAAAGAAAGCAGCCCCAGACACCTCTATTTGGAAGCACTGTCCTCAGCAAATTAGACACAGAGGCCTTTGGAATGATCTTCTTTCCAAATGTCTGCTGGTTTTATGGAGGCTAATGATGTAACTGAGAAGCACCGTCTGCACTTTAGGTTGAATTCAAACATTTTCCATGCTAAAATAATTCCAGCTGCTTCATTTGCTTCCTTTTCCTGTAGATTTCTTTCCGATTGATGTATTTCATACTGACAGTTTTTACAGATGCTGGCACTGGTCAAACAGAATTCCTGACGGAAATCCAGACAGGAGTTTATTGTAAAATAGTATCTGTCTTTCCTAGCCAGCCGCTGCGCATTTGGGGTAGCAGGGAAGGTGGTGTTAAATTTGTATTTCAGTTACACAAAGTTAGTTTCGGGTTTTTTTGCATTTTAGAATAACTAAAACGGAAATCCAGGTTAGCTGTCGTGTATGGACCATTCAGATTAGTGGAAGCAGGAGAAGAGGAGCGGATGCATGGGAGTGAATGAAGTGCAGTGGACCAGTCCGTCTCTACAGGCAGCAGTACTGTGTGCCCAGAGCCCCCAGATTAGCTCGTCCTGGCCCCGTAGTGTAACAGATATGCCGCAGGGTATTGGGGAAAAAGGTCTTCTGGGTCAGAACCTGACGGTGTCTCTCATCCCAAGACAGCTCTTGTTTCAGCAGAACTTTCAGGTTTGCTCGGGACTGGTGATAGAAGCTGCAGTGGCCTTAGAGACTTCTTCCATAGCTGCAAAAATACACTTCCTCCTGTCCGCCCCTTGCAACCTGCCGTTTACATTAACAGTGGGATCATTACATTTTTCACCTTCAGTTATGCAACCAGTCCCAAAATTGGCCTTCACGCTCTGAAGCAATCCAAATCCTTCATTTCTTTGGACAGTCTAGTGAGAATATTGTATTTTACATGTAATGGCCGTAGGAATATAATGGTCCCGCTGTACATACATATACTTACAGCTTATGTCTTAAAGAAATGCTGTAATACCTTTAAGAATAAATGATCATCATGGTTGTAGCCTTTTTTACGATGGCAAAAATCAGTAAAGAAGGAAAATGTGCCATTTGTGTAAGCCAGTATTTTAAAATACATGAACAGCAAATCTCAGGCAGCAACAGAGCTCTGCAAATTGGTGGGACGCTTGTGAGTACAAATGCTGTAACAATTCCAGCGCAGAGTAGCTGTGCAAGACCTATTCATGCTTATTACAGTTTATTAGAAGTACAGCATTGCGTTGTCATGCTGAATCTTGAGCATGTACAGGAGAAGAGAGAAATCCTTCCAGGACTGTCTTTTTGCAGCATGCCTGACCTTGTCTCCAACGTGGATTTGCATAGAGGATCCTGGGTGTACGGAGTTCATTGCAGGCTCAGGTTTGCAAAATGTCAGAACCAGTAATCCTTTCCTTGACTCTGGAAGTCAGACTCTCCCCTCAGTTGTCCTTGGGGAATGAAGCTAAGTCATTACTCTGGATTTGGGAGCAGTATTTGGGTGAGAAGTTTTTCCTGACTGTGATGCAAAATGATACAAGTGCCTCAGCGGTCTTGCATTCATGAAATTGTAGTGCAGCCTATCATCAAATTAGCAATACCCACTTCTCTTGCAAATGGGCTTCTTTATAGTCTAACTGGAAGGATGTGAGCACTGAGAAGTGGCCAGTGATACACTATGTACCATTATTTTCTGTATTGACAGTTGAGAAAATAATATCATAGCACAGAAGTTTAGTTTGAATTGTTTATTGGACTAAAAACAGTTTAAAAAACAAGAAATAAATCCAGCTGTTAGAAAAAAATGTGTTGTTCGAGGTGGATGAACTTTCATTCTGGGAACTATTTTCTTGTCTGCAGATCATTTGCAGCAATAGACTAATGTTTTTGCTTTTCCTTGTATACAAACGTAGAACAAGCCGAGCAATTACCATGTGGATATCGGCCCATTTAAGGAAGATCACTGTATTTAGTTTTGCTGTTTGACCTCAGCAGCAGAGTGGTGCGACTGAAAACATACCTGCGCTGCACAAAATCAGTCTACTAGATAAGCAATAGCAATGTCCTTTTCTAAAGCATCCTTGAAAAATACTTGTACATAATTTCTTGCTAAGATTGACTTCTGCTAGGAAACTTAAATAGTCAGTTACTACTTTAAGTAGTAATCGGTTTTGGTGACTGTCAGCTGAAACTCAGCTTCACATAGGGTTTTGTTGCACAGAAGGCGCAGGGAGGAATACAATGGGCTGTGTTACCTTATAGTGGCCTTAAGATAATAATTGATACTAGGTGGTCCGAAGATTTAGAATTCAGTCACTGATGGCACCCACCCCGCAGCTTCCAGCTGCCCCGTTGCTTCCCTGGAGGAGCCGACCTTCCCTGGTCTCCCTCAGACAGTAGCCCCTGCAGAAATGCCTTGAGAGGCTCCACCCGAGTGCTCTCTTGACGATACTGCAGGTGATACCGTTTGAGAAGATCAAATAAAAATGCCCAAAGGAACAATGATTAAGCTCCCCAAGAGAAGAATGGGAAACTGAGGAGAAGCGTGATCCTAGCTGAGGCACAGGACTGGAGAGGTAGCTTTACTCCCTGTAGCCCTCCTATGTAGCTTTAGGTTTATGTCACATAAAATCATGTTTTTAAATGTACTTAGGGCTTAAAGATGCAGGCGAGTGCCTTGGGTTAGACCTCAAAGCCCCTAAAAATGGCAGTTAAATAGCTCCCCAGCTTTGAGGACCTGTATCTCGGTTCTCCCCTTGCACAGTGGAAGTAATTGTGGCTCTGCCATCAGAGCCTGTGCCTGGATACCATAGTGATGATACCTCTGCACAGCCCTGCAGGCAATGAGTCCTCTCTTTGCCTTATTTGCCTCAGTGCTAAATAACGTTCAGCCTGTGCTAGCGTGCCACGATGCATTGATATCGATGGTTTTCAGCAGCTGAGGTTCAGGCCATGAAATTACTGACTTGTTTCCTTCAAGATGAGTCAAGTAGGGAAGAAATAATTTGTTTGTGTGTGTCCTTGTTCGTTTCCCTGTACTGTGAAGCATTAATTGGTGACTGAATGCAAAATTTCCTTTCCCTAGTTTGTTCTTACAGGACTCACATAGGAGTTAATTGCCAAAAATAAAATTTCATAACAGTATAAGGGATGACAAAGCCCATGTCGGGGTGGAACAGTTTGAAATGCTGTCAGGTCCTAAGGACACTACTCTAATAATACGCCTTCTTTTTTGGCGATAGGGAGTAGGCAAAATAACCTGTGAGGTAATGGTCTGACTTGGCATTTACAGCTTGCAAGCCGGTGTTCAGCAGCTCAGCACTTTAGGATTACAGAATTATCAGCAGAGAGAAATATCGTTGCTTGAAATTGTGACATGGTTTTATAAACTTCCTTCTTTTACAGATTCGGTTAAACAGCAGAGGACTTATCTATTCTGTTGGTCTCCTGCTGGCATCTGTTTTTGTCACAGTATGTATATAGTCTTTTGTTCTTCATTTCCAGAAGAGTGATTTTTATAGACGTTTTCTTCACCTCTTCCTTTCTCACCTTCAGCTGCAATAGCGGTTGCAAAGTCGGTTGTTAAGGGATAGGAATGGTCACTCCTACTGTAAACTTCCCAAGACTTTAATCTGGCGTGTTGCAGAAGCTATCGCTGTCACAAGATGGCTCATACTTATATATTTTTCATGGGAGAAGTCTGGGAGATCCATTAGTAATCCTTAGTTATTTCTCATGCTAGAGTTGAAGCAGATCCCCTGATGTATGATGAGATCCAGTCTCCTGTTGGACAGGTAGACAAAAAGCTGTACAGATTGCTTTGGCCCTCTGTAGGAACCTTCTGAAATACAACTCAGACCAGAACGAATGGTGCCTGGACATGGCAGTGTTTCTGTGCCTCGCATTCCCTGACCTGTCGAGGTCCAGCATAGCAGATAAGAAATGATAGAGAGAAGAGGATTTATGTGGCGTTTTCCAAATCTTGAGACCAGCTGCCATAGGGGGTCCTCCAGTGTGTTGCACACCAACACAATTCCCACATACGCAAGACTTGAATTTTTTAAGAGGTTGGTGTGGGAGCAAACTAAGCAAAGTCAAACAAGGCCTTAGACTGTGTGGCTCTAGACTGAGATGCAGAGGGCCCCGTGAAGCATTTTGTGTGAAGAAAAAGGAATCTGGCCTTTGAAAACATTTCTGATTGAATTAAATGGGACTGTTCTTGCCAAAATGAAATTCATTGCAGAAACTTAAGGCCCTTAGGCCAGGACTCGAGGTGGTGTAAGTCAGCGTGGCTTCAATGACTGCGAGGGGGCTACTCTGATTTACTTCAGCTGTGGTCTTCAGCCCACTTGTTGCAGTACTTGCATTGCGATTGCTTCCAGGTGACCATGATCAGTATGGGGACAGTCATCTTCGTGCTCCTGTAATTGAGAAGGGGATTTACCCCTTTATTCGAAATGCTCCTGCTGTGGTGGCTTACTCTGTGTTTATTGTAGGTTTTTGGCGTCCACATGAACAAATGGAAACTGGATAAGAAGCTAGGGTGTGTGTGCCTTTCCCTTTACGGCATCTTCCTGTGTTTCTCCATCATGACAGAATTCAATGTTTTCACTTTTGTGAACTTGCCAATGTGCAGAGATCACTAATGCAGGTGGCAGACTGTCGGGAGGAGCTTCCTTCTTACCTGTGCAATACAAACCACGGCTGGCATCTCCTGAATGCGGTGCACCTCCAAGTCGTGACGTATATCCTGTTCACTGTTCATAGGACCCGTGGCCCCGTCTAGGTCTGCCCTCTCCCTGACCCCCCGCAACCTGGAAAAATCCTGCATCGATGTGAAGATTATTTTTTTCAACATTCATGTGATTTCCTAGCTCAGTTTTGAACAGTGTGACTGGGACTCTAGATGAACTGGCTGCTAACTGGCGTCAAGCCAGGCAAAACTGGTCTGCTACAATTCCTTCTTTTTTTTAAGTTATTTGATGGAAGACTAATCTAATTTATGACTTAAGACTATTGCTACAATGCAGAAGAGGGTACATCGTACAGGGGCTGATTTTCAAGGAGAATCATGGGAATTTTTTTTGTTGGTTTTTTGGTTTTTTTTTAGTTTTGTTTTTTGGGGTGTTTTTTGTGGTTTTCTTCTTTGGTTTTTGTTTTGTTGTTTTTGGATTTTTTTTTTTAATTGCCAGAGATCAACATCCTCTCTTGCAGCCTCTCCTTCCGAGAGCTGGGTCTCCTGAAACGATCCAAAGGTCACAGGGCAGTGTAATATGGGAATACAATTCAAGGTACTCAGCATATGAATGGATTTACTGCATATTAAAAGAAGATTGCCAAGGCAACAGGCGATGACTTTTTACCGTAAATAATGAATCTTGTACAGGTATGATGAGGAACGCAAGGTAAACGTGGATTCAAAGGGTAAACACTGCTACCGTTTTACTGCTAATGTTGGAGTTTTATTACTAGAGTGTTTATGGTATTTCCAAGCAATAGTTTGATCGCCAGCCCAGGAGGGCTACCAAGGAGGTGTCCTGGTTTTTAATGATCTGCACATGGAAATGGAAGGCCAGAACTTTCTCTGCTTCATCAGATTTCTTGGTTTGGGGGGATTCAATAGTTCATGTCTTCTTCGTTCTGAGAAGGACATAAGTACATGTTGGAACTTTTCTAAATGAGTTACAGACACTGGTTTCTTTAAAAGGAAAGAGGCATATTTTGCACAGACATAGTTACTGAAGTCATAATTTGCCACTCTTTAAAGAATACACTGGACCTGGCCAGATATTTGTCGTCTTAAGCAGTTGAACTTCTCTGATAACAGATCATGTGGATTCATCACCCCTCCTTTGGGAGGGAGGAAGACACAGAGAGAGATGGCACTTTTTAAAATGTGGAATATCTTCAATGCAGACTCGCTCACAGATCTTAAGTTATTGTGAAAGTTTAGCTATTCATTGTTCCAATATCCCTGCTAGATTTTGTATAATTCTGTATTAATATGCAGGCAGATTCCACCCCATGAGAAACGCCATCACAGCTTCATTTGTATGTATTGATACTGTGGATTCTTGCCAGTGCTGGCTCTTGTATTTACTTTAAGCACTGATCACTTCTGATTCATTTGGTATGTTTTTTCCTCTTTCTTGTATATGTTCTACTATGAAATGTATTAAGATACTACCAGCTAGGTGAATGTTTTTGTCTATGGTACAAACAGTGGCAAATATCGGTAGTAAAGGCACAGCAAACCCTATGTAAAAGAAAGAAAGGAAAAAAAAAAAACACAAACCCAAAACACCAAACCCTAAACTATAGCAGGAAAAAAAAAACCCTCCAACTAAAAGAAAGAAGAGGAGCGTGCCCCGTTCACAGACAGAAAGCCAGGTTTTATTTCATTTGCACTTTTGGAAGTGATTTCTTTGGCTTAATTTTCTTTGGGCAAAATGTTGTAAATCCAAATATTAACACCGTGTGGTTTCCATTCAGCTCGGCACTTGATTTTCTTTCCTTGTCACGCTAAAAGTGTGGAGGTCGCTGGCAGCCGTTGCGCCGCGCGTGTCGAGGAAGTCGAGTGGAAAAAGCGGTGTCCCGCTGGCCCCGGTGAACAAAGTGTGCGTGTGGATCCCCGGCAAGAAGAAGGAAGGGTCCGGGGGCGGGCAGCAGGGAGAGTCGATGATGTGCCTGCCTCCTCATTTTTCCTTCTGGAAAACAATTGTGTTGCTACTTGTTGAGCTATGCAGCCTGTTCGAGCAGCCTTCTCGTAGCTGTGCCCGCTGGAAGTCCTCTTGCGTTAGGAAGCCCGCTGTACCTTCCCGTTGTTGTTTTTTTGTTGCTGTTCTTTCTTTTTTTGTTGCTGTTAAGGAGATTAATAATAATAATAATAATAATAACCACTAAAATGCCTAAAATACTTCCTTAAATCAAACAGTGTTAGCAACAATGTGGCACATTTCACTAACCACCACCACCACCACCCCCCCCAAACACACAGCTATACTCTCGTAGCAAGATGCAGTTGCTCCTAAGCAGAGTGTTTCCTTGCTGACAGAAGGGACAGATCTGGGGAAGGAAAAAAAAAAAAAAAAGAGAAGTTTCACATCAGGGCCTATTATTACTTCTATTTTGAATATTTATACTGCTGCTCCAATGGAGCCAGTTGGATCTATTTCTACGAAATAGCCATTACCTATCCCGTGGCACAGAAACCGCATGAGTATTTTTTAGGAACTTTTCCTATTGGTGTGCATTAAATACTGTAGTATATCGTAGCTTTGCATTGTGTGTAAAACCTGAAATACCTTGTTTTGACACTTGTATGTTGTGCAAGAATGTTCTGCAAGTTGTTTGTTCTAAGCAGAAGCAAAAAGTACATTGAACTGCCGTTATCTGTGCCATATATGAATTGATAAGCACTTCCTATATTGACGGTTTCAGCAAGAGGTGCTTACAATTTGCAACCAAATCAACCAGTGCAGACCTGGTTTGGAACAGGATAGACCAACTGAATGTGTGCATTCTTGGTTTTGTCTCCAAAAGAGAGAGCCTCTCAAGTTTGTTAGCATAATCAAAGCCTGCGGAAAAGTCCCCAAAGCAAAAATCTTGAGCAATTTTTAGCATCCTTCCTGTACGACATCTCCAAGTCTCACATAGACAGTTATATTCAAATGCAGTGCATATTAATAGCTTTACTTCATTGAGCCAAGCCGAGGACTGAGTCTGAGGGGTTCTCTCCTCCCGACGTTAGATTCTGGAAGCTGCCGGCGGTACGTGGGGGGACAGCCCTCGCCCGGCTTCGGCCTCCCGGTGAGAGAGAAGCTCTGCAGTGCCCGTTGCTGTCCGAGCCGCGGGCGTTCATTTTGGACGCGGGGCCGCGGGAGCCCCTCGAGGGCGGCCGCTCCCTGCCCTGCACGGGCGGCTGGGCTGGCACTGGGGGGAAGGAGGGAGCAGGGAGCTGGGGCACAAAGGGGCTGGGGAGAGGCCCGGGGTTTGGGGGGCTGGAGGAAACCAGGGGTGAAGCCAGGTCGGGTTGGGTTTTTTGAGTGTGGCTGTGATTCATCTGTGTTTTTATTCTTCTGAAAGCAAGGGTCACCTTCACGCCTGAGGCTGCTCTGGTCTTTGGACCAGTCGACTGTTTTTGTTTCCGTTCCTAGTGGTCGCAGACAATTCTTAATGAGTATTTCAAAGGGAGATTAAAGAGCCTTTTCCGCAGCGGAGAGCACTTCACTGCAGCTCTGACTTTGACCTGATTTAAATATGTGATCGCTTGCTAGTTTCAACTCTGTTCAACGTGTGGATGGCCTTCCTTTGACAGCGGTTCACAGGCAGAAGGATAGGATAGGATAGGATATGAGGAGGTCTTAAGACATGCTGGAAAAACTGCTTTTGTCCCTACCAAAGGTGAATTTTATGCTTGCCTTTTTTTTTTCCTTTTTCTTTTTTTTTTTTTTTTTTCCTTTTTTTGGTGTACTGCACTTTTTGGTAGATTGTTTCTGCGATAGGAACACCAACCTGAAGTGGGTGGGCGAGAGGAGATTTTCACTGGTATAATTTGGTTTTTTCCTGTGATGCTACGTGCCTGCTTTGTTTTCAGCTTCCTGTCCTCAGCTGTGTCAGTGAAACCAATTGATGAGCATGCTTTGGGTTTGTGGTGTCAGTGCTTGTGAAAAGGAATGCTCGTTCTTAACGTTCAGATAGATGCGCGACTGGCTTTTTTTCTTGAAAAAACAAATCAGGTAGAACAGCAATCTAGTTTTAGAAAAACAACGTTCGCTGTAGGTGGAGCAACCTGAGGGTAACATTTAATATCCTCCTGCCAGAACGGGAATTTTTATATGCCTTTTCCAAATAACCGTATTAATACTTGTGAGATAAACTGTAGACTGAATATTGTTGGATAACTTTTTAGAAAACCATAACTTTCTGCTGATTGACAAATTTTTCTTACATCAAGATTTTTTGGAATCCCTAATCCTTTCAAATGAAGCTCACAGAGACGCCATAGCGTAAGGTTTATCTATTTCAAAGTTGCACCACTGGAGCTTTAAACTTGTTTAAATATATACTTTAAAAATCAATCTCAGTGGACCATGCTTAGCTGGATTTAAATCTGCCCTGCATTCATGAAGTTGCACTTGATCAGTAGCCACTGTCAGTTAGTCTAAAATAGACTTAAATCCAGGCAAGAATGTCCATATTAGGTTTGTACAACTTTAACTGAATCAGTTTAAAGCCATGCTTTTAAGGAAAGCGGTGGAAGTCTGAATATTTGGAAGACCTCAGCCACTTCACATTTGAGGAACTGCAGAGTTTGGGTGTGCTGAGTGGGTGTACCAAGGACAAGGCAAGGCTTAAAGGAAGAGAGTTTTCAGTATTCGCTGACTTGAGTGAAAGTTGACCTCTATGGAAATCAACGGCGAAACCCCAAGGATTGTTTTGTAGGGACAGTGTACATGTTTGCAGCAGCGAGTCCTGAAAAGGACTGTTGCACTTTGTTTTTTAAAGATGAATGAACTTTTTATTTTCTTATCTGAATAGGTAAATGAATAACTATTCATACGACTAGGCACCTTTACGGGAACTTACGTTAATATTCTGTTAGCACTTAGTGGCCTCAAATCTGAAGCGTATTTCACAAATGCAT